AGAAACAGCCTAAACTAGTAGAAAAACAGGTTAGGAATTAGAAAAGCTGGAGTCAGGAGGGCCAGATGGGAAGCCCCCTAGGATAACGAAAAAAATGGCCAAGGATACTTTCAAATCAGCAGCACCATTGAAGGAATTGGCAGAGGTAATTTTGGAGCCGCTGGCTGTCCTCTTTGAGAATTCATGGAGGTTGTGAAAGGTCCTGTGTGACTGGAAAAAGACCAATATAGTGCCCATCTTTTAAGAAAGGGAAGGAGGAGGAGGAAGGCTGATGCAGATCAGTCAGTCTGATCTCAATATCTGGAAAGATCATGAAGCAGGTACTCAAAGAATCTATTGTGAAGCACCTAGAGGAGAACAAAGTGATCAGAAACAGCCAGCATGGATTCACCAAGGGCGAGTCAATGCCTGATTTTCTTCTATGATAAGATGACATGCCCTGTGGATAGGGAAGAGCAGATGTGATATACCTTGACTTCAGCAAGGCTTCTGACACCATCTCCCACAACATTCTCATTAACAAGCTAGGAAATACAGAATAAAGATACTGTAAGATGGACACACAACTAGTTGGATCACTGTACTTAATTCACTCATGAATGGCTCAATGTCTAGTTGTGAGGCGGTAGCAAGAGGTGCTCCCCAGGGTCTGGATCTGGTATTGTTTAATATCTTCAGTTATTTAGTCAGGAGAAGAGAAGGCCATGAGAGGATTTGGTAACAATCTTCAAATATCTGAAAGGCAATTACAAAGAGGACAAAGATGGGCTTTTCTCTGTGGTTGCATGGGAGAGGACTAGGAGCAATGGCCTCGAGCTGCAGCAGGGGAAATTGAGGTTGGGGATTAGGAGGAACTTTCTGACTATGACAGTGGTCAACCATTGGGATAAGCTGCCTAGAGAAATGGTCCAATCTTCATCCTTGGGAATTTTCTAAGCACAGGTTAGATTTACCTTTGGCTTGGATGGTTTAGTCAAGGATGATCCTGCCTTGACAATAATATGCTACCTTGAGCAGGTAGCTGGACCAGATGAACTTGTGAGGTCCCTTCCAGCCTTACTTTCTTATGATCCTATTTTTGTTGAGATCTACATTTTTCCAGCATTCCTGGACAGAGACAGGTATTAGAGGTTCACTCACCAAAATTCTATCAAAAGCTGATGGTGTACCACCTCTCTGAACATGACCCAGTATAGTCACACGAGTGTCAAATCCCAGGCACCGAACCACAAGCTGCAAACAATTTCAAAAGTAAGTGAGAAATATAAAACAACAGGATTAACATAGTAGTTATATAGTATGCATACATTAGCAAAAACCTTTTTGGAAACTTTTGGCATTATGATCATATTAGACTATATATCATGATACTGTAACACAATTAATGTTGGTAAATGTTCCCATTTTACACATACATTTACACAACTACCCCTCTAATAATTAGATTATATATATAGAAAATAATGTGGTATACTTTTTCATGTACAGAATCTAATATTTGGAGGCCTGTCTTAAACTTGCCCTCCCAGCACTGAGGGGGAGAAAGCAGCAGGGGTTTATGGAGTCAGGAGGCAAGTCTTTTGTGCCCCTTGTTCCCCATGTTTAAAGAAGAAGGGTAGGGAACTCATTTGGATTTGAGTAAATATAGCTCTTCAATCGAGATTAAGATAACCAAATCTCCAGGAACCTCCTTTAATGGAACATTTGGTTTAATAACAAAAAAAATGGTTTTGAAAGCAATGCTTTAACTGCAGAGAAATATAGCTATTTTATCTGTAGTTATGCATAGTGTCCTCAACCTTATAAAGTATAAACATCACAAAGATCTGGAAAAAGACTACACTGAAATAGGTTTATACATGTACAATATTAAGCATTTTGAGGTGGCTAAAATTCTAGACGGCTTTTAGCCTTCTACAGATCTTACTGCCTTTGGCTAAAATGAACAATCAAAAGGAGGTATAATACTTTGTTCTGGAAACTTTGAGCTCTACAAAACTAAGAGTGTTGACTTTGTATTCCTCTGAATAACAGTAAGAGCTGCTAGGAAGTATTATAATTAAAATGTTACAAACATCACTGAAAGTGAAATAATTTGATATTAAATAACAGACCTATGTTAAAAGGTACAAAGAGTTACATGCAGCTGGTTTTGTTTGCCTGCAGCTAAAGTGCAAGTCAAGTTTTATTAAAATGGGAACTTTTACCAACATTAATTGTCTTACAGTGTTAGATCAGAAAGAAAGAAAAGAGAATAAAGTATGGAACACTTTCCCAGTCATTCAACTCTTGCAAGGCAGTTAGGAGATTTATTTACACTCTCATTCTCTCTATAAGTTTCAGTCCCAATTTTTACAGCTTCCTTGGTATTTTAACACACTGTGGTCTGTGGAACAAGGAAGCAGTGTTTACTTCAACCAAAATTTAAAAAGTAACAACTAGTTTCTATACTTTTACTTAAAAACTCTAGTCAAAGCCAATTTGTATTTCATTTGAAAAAACATAATTGTGTACTGATGTATCAAGGACTGTTGCATCGTTTTAGTGTTCCTCAAAAGCATCAAACTAACAGCAGTAAAAAACAAAGTCTTGTAACCATACACTGGATAAAGCACAGACAATGTAATTTAAAGTTTCTTCATACCATCCTTACAGTCGATGTGTTCCAAAATCTGAATAAAAGGATCATTTCCAAGAATGACATGGTAATTCCAGTCTAAATGCCTGCTAAATCCTTGGCCTCTGATGATGTGAGCATTATTATTGTGATAGGAGCTTAACAGAAGATTACACAACTTCTTCCAAGAACATAAACTGATAATGATTACTGCTCTAAACCAAATTTTAACAGACTTTCTAGCGATCAAATAGCTGAAAACACCCACTTCATTGACTACCCTCTACTTTAAGTACATGGGCACACATGCCCAAACATATACAAATATACATGCACCTACAGATTCCAATCAAAAACTCAAATAAGCCACCAGAAAAAGACCCATTTACTTTGATGAAATTTGAGTTCAGGCTACAAGTCAAAGGTATAAAATATAGCTTGCAAGTGCTGGAAGAGACTGTTTTATAGAAATTTCCATGGAATTTCTATTTTTATCAATAAGTAGAAAGCAAACAGCACCAAATTAGATATAGTGCAAGTAGAAGGAGCACTACAGGGAGAACGATACTTACATCTTTAACTTGCTCTGATGTTATGGCTTTGTTGTGAGAATCAATGGCACCTTCTGCTACAATGATAATATTCAGTCTTTTCTTTCGTGCACGGTTCTATGGGAATAAAAGCATTTGACCATTGCAAAAAGGCCAAAAATACCAATACAGTACAATTTTGAAAACAAATTTCTGTATGTTCAATTCCAAAGATAATGATAATTAGGGATTCTTCTTCTCTTATTTTCATATTCTCATACATCTTATGCATATGCAGGATTTCCAGGGGCAAAGTGAAGTGTTTCATGATAGGCAAAAGCCACAAATAGACATTCGGGGCATTTATACACGTACACATTTGTCTGTTCTGATGCACTGGAAATCCAGCGTGTCAGAGCAGACTCAATTAATCAAGCTGCTCCGCTTGCAAGCTGATGCGCCCAGCATTGCATGGCATGGATTTGTATAAACAGCGAAATACGCGTCAACGTTGAGAAAATGGTGGCGGCGAGGGTCTGAACTAAAACACCTTCAATGTATTTTAATTCAAAAGCACACTGCCGCCATTTTCTCAGGGCTGACGTGCATTTCGCCATTTATACAAATGACGGGCACTTTTAAAAGCACCCCGTGGTGTGGCACAAACGTGTAAATGCTCTCAATTTGTAACAGTAGCAATTTTCCACAGCTAGAAATGTTTCTGGGAGATGGAGTAGTACAGGCATCCAACATGCAACTATCCCTCTCCCCTGCTCCTCAGACCAGGTAATCCTGGTCTGGGGAAAGCATGGGGAACAGCAGCTGCTCCAGTCCTCCCATTCCCAGTGCCCATGAGCTGAGCAGACTGACCAGCGCAGCAAAACCCTGCCCATGCCTCACACCAGAGTGAGAAGCAGCAGGTGGTTCTGCATCCCTTGATGTGGGAGAGAAGGGGGATCGGTCTATGGGACGGGCAGGAGCAGCTGCCCCTCCATTCTTCTTCAGAACAGGGTGAACCCGGCCTGGGGAAGGTACAGGTGTTGGTCCCTGCCACTCAATTCCTCCCAGGACTAGGATGAAGCAAGCAGCACCTCCTCCTCTCATCTCCCCCTGCCAGCCAGGGTGACCCCAGTCTCAAGAAGGTACAGTAAGCATTTTCTCACAAATCAAGTGCTCCTGGAGCATTTATACACATACTTTTTTCTTCACAAACATGCTGATCTGCGCTGCATGCAGTTGTATAAGCGGCAAAATGCATGTCAGCATGCAGAAAATGGCAGTGATGCGCTTTTGATTTAAAGCACTTCCAGGGTGTTTTAGTTCAAAAGCGCGCCACTGCCATTTCCTCAAACGTGATGTACATTTCGCAGCTTATGCAACTGCAAGTATTGCAATGCCAGGTGCTTTTCAAAGTGCCTGGCACCGTGGTGCTTGCATGTGTAAAAATGCCCCTGGTATCTGGGAGGAGTCAAAGGCAGGGAAGTGTACAAGCATTTGTTCTTCTGGGAGAGACCGTCTGAGGAGCAATTTCGACTGGATCAGAGATAGGTTATTTTAATTCCAGAACTGCCATTTTTTTATTCTGAGAGAAAGTGTGCGAATGCCTGTACATCTGTGGTTTCTACTGGGAAAAGCTGCCCCATAGAAATGCAATGCCCATATGTGGTCAGAGAGAAAAAACAAAAACAGGTCCGTTGTGGCAATGTGCAAAGGGGCTGCGGCAGCCCTAGAAGGAATCACACAGTGATTCAGTTAGGCCAGAGTGCCACCAATGAAACCAGTAGCAAAAAATCTCATTGAATGGGACTTGACCTATGCTGTTTAACTGGCAGCTACTACTTCTCAGGTCCAAGTGTTTATTCAGCATGCTGAATGTCCAGGATGAAGTAACAAATTACCTCAGACAGCTTAACACACATCTTATCCTCCCATCCTTCTTCTGGAGGGTATTCAGGAATGAGTACCCAATCTGCACCACAAGCTAAGGCACTCACAAGGGCTAGATACCTAGCAAGTACATACAACAAATATCCAAATAAGCAGGGAATTACAAATCTGTTTCACAGTTTTTTAAAATAACATTTTTCTAGATACTAACTGGTGAAAACAGTACATACCCACAGTGTCTTCCCATAACCTCCAGTACAAAGGTCCTCTGATGGCTATAAAATGACAAAGAAACGTCAATGCAATTCAAAGCACCAATCCAAATCCCACTGAAATCAATGGAATGTTAAACACTAAAAATAACACATAGTAAACCAGAAATAAAGTATCATCTCTAGTCTGATGGGACAGAGAGAGAAGAAGAAAAAAAAACAAAAAAAACTCAGAAAAATCAATGCAACTTTTCTAAAACGCTTTGCGTTCTGTGGCTGCTTACATATGCTTAAAAAAAACACAAACCACAGCACTTTACTTTAAACTCAGTGCACTCCCGTGGCCAACCCAACACAAGCCCAGAAGAGACATCGCATTAGCTGGACCTGGCTCGCCCAATGTCTGTATAGATTGGGTACTTTAGGGGGCATTTTTTGGTGCTTCTATTTAATAGCTGGTTAAATCAGCTTTAGATAAAAGCGCCAAAAAGTCCCATGAAGCACCCGATCTATACAGACACCGTGGAGCCAGGTCAAACTCATGTATTGCTGCTTCCATTAAAGCGGTATTTAAAAAAAAAAAACAACCCTCTGTAAGCAGCCATAAGACATTACAAGCTTTGGTTAATAAGAAATATGGTTGCCCGGTGACTACAATTTGTGACAGGAATAAAAGCAACAAATGAAACTGATATTTTTTTCTCGCTCCTGAATATTTAAACAACTTATTGTAGAGCTGCTTTTTTTTTTTTTTTAAAGAAACAAAAAGACTTCATTCAAAGTGAAATAAAATTGTAGAAGTCATAACAATGTCACTTTAAATATTGTAACATATAATTATCTTTCAGTAATTAGATGTGCTGACTATCAGATAATTAGTAAAGTAAGATCATTGTCTTTTTGGTCAAGAATAAATCTAGATCAAACATTTTTTTAACCTGGCAAAGGAAATATGAAGGAAGGACCCAGCTTCTAGCACACCCGTTCTCTTGGCTAGAGTTTGGTTTTCTGGCAGCAGTCCATTATTTCATGCTACTGCACATGCCTGACAAAGTGAGAAACATCAACCCAAGTGACAACATAACTGAGTTCTAACTATACATTTATTCTCACATGGCTAAAGAAGAATCCCATTTCTCTCCCACCAAACCTCTGACGTCTTTAGTTGTAAAAGCAGAGAGCCGCCACAAAGTTTGCATTTTTATGTGGAAAGCAAGTGATATATGAAGCTCTGTGCTGCTCTTCTGCATGGAAATTAGTTTCACTTTAGTTTTCTGACAATGACTATAACCCAAAACACTTAAAAAAAAAAAAAAAAAAAAAAAAAAAAAAGGGAAAGGCTGGGGTAGAGGGGAGAAAGAAAGAACACCACTTTTAACACTGAAGTGATGGTCTGATGGATGTACTATCACATTTTTGCTTCTGGAGATATAAGGTTAAATGTAACACAGACTTGCAGTCTGATTTTTGTCCCTGGTGCATGTTTGCTCATATTTCAAAGGCACCAGCGATTTTGGAACAGTTTGGTCTGACTCGCATCCTCTGATCACAAAATGCCCAGGACAGAAATAAAGCCTTGTTGCATTTTAGGACAGAACATTCACAGCACATTCTCTTAAGTTATCAGTTACTTTATTTCAATGCCATTTACTTTTATACCTACCAATGTATCTTTTTTAACCAGTTTACCTTTGGGCAGTGGTCATAATTGCATCCACAACTTCAATGATTCTGTGCAAGGCTGAGTCAGTTCCTATGGTCATATCAGTACCACAGAAATCATTATCAATGGACCCAACCATACCCACAATGTTGAGGTAAGCATATTTCTTAACTGCCTCTTCGTCAATCTTGCCTGCAGAGAAATAACCATAAAAAAAAAACGTATTTTAACAAAAGGCAGCTCTAATGACATGAAACTGGTGGCAAATGGCATGGCATAGTTGAAAGTTTTGGGTCCTTTAACCAATTCTATAGCAGAAGGGAAAAGTACTGAATATATACCTATATGTGACCCACCAATGTAACTTGTGTATAACCTAAGTAAACAGGGACTGCAATGAGATGGCACTGCTCAAGTAACCAGTAGGCATTTTGTAAACAAAACCACACTTAACCACAAAAGTAACAAAAACAGGAAAACCCTATAAAAAAGGTAAAAAAACAGAAAAGAGGGAGGAGGGGTGCAAGCCATCCATAAAAAAGCAAGCAAAAAAACCTGTGAACCCCAAAGACTCCTGAGTGCTTGGCCAGCTTCAGGAAAACACTTTGTCCTCAGGACTGCGTAAGACTTATGCAAAGTTTCTGTTGTTCCCTTGTCTTATGCTTATGTTGTTACTTGCTATACTCAATAAATGCTCTCTTCAAAGAACAAACAGCTCTTGTCCAAGCCCATTTTAATGGCTTCAGCGCTACCACTTAGATTCTAACATTAAATGTGGGCAACAAAATGAAATCATCAGACTTTTCAGGGCCTCCTAACCCTCCCTCGCAAGCAGTAGACAGGACAGAGTGAGGGGTGCGTAGAGGGAGCAGGGCTTGCAAGCTCCTGGGAGAAAGCCGTGCCAGCAGCCTGGGCCACGCGCCGGGGGG